ATAGTAAATGATAAATATAAGTTAACATATAGACACTACAATATCATGGTATCATTCCCATGACATCTAAGACATATGAATAAAATAATTCATTTATATATTATTAAAGAACAGAAATAAGAGGCCACATGTGTAACAATAGTGTACGTCGTCAACAGTGAGTACTATATGTACAAACGTACAGCACTCACCAAGGTAAGGGAGGTAAGTGTACAAAAGTAAAGAATAGTTTTAAATTCTGTATTGCTTGTCACCCTTAGAGTTAGTGAGCTACTGTAAAGCAGATATGTTTGTTGGGGATTTTCGTTTCGTTTATTTTTCGTTTATTTCGTAGTTAACAATTATCAACGGAATTAAATCCCACAGGAAATGTTTATATGGCTTTATGTTGAATAGGGTTACTTTCGAAACAACGAAATTTAATGCCAACGAAACCTTTTTAGATGACAAATTAACAAAATTTTATCCCCACAAAAATTAGTGCTTCTACAGTATTCTGATCTGTCTGCATTTTTCACCACTAAAATCTTAGTTGCAATTGACCTCTAATGATAGTTGACATCATTTTGTAATAACCATGATGTACAAAATATTTTGATAACTTTATTTCACACATTTTCAATCACTATATGTTTTTCAAAGATTTTATATTTGGTCATTACAGTCACACAACGGAGTGTCCCTAAAGCTCCATAACAAATTCACCACATGGATAAATCGCTGGCGGGAGGAAAATCTGACGGAGAATCAAAAGACGGCGTGCGAGGATTGGCTGATGGGACGCACCGAAGATCTGGTGGCATGTACCACCACGAAGGAATCTTGCAGTGCTGAGGATGCCACACCATACTTCACCTTTAACAAATACAAGGTGGAGTATGAATACGAGACCAAAAATGAGGCAGGGGAACCAGTTGAGCCAGTCAAAGAGGCCACTAGTTAAGGAGGTTACCAATGAATCTATTGATAACAACTTAACTTTCAGAAAGTACTTGCTTAATATTATCTAAAGATAATTATAAGAAGAAACTAGACTAATGCATTTAAAGAAAGTAGATTGGATGCATTTAAACAAATCTCTTTCTACACACGTTGTATGATGTATTTAAAGGGGTAATGCATTCAACTAATTGTCATTATTTATATAGGTTGACACTTTCAAACAATAATGAATTTCATTTCTTAAAGATTGCATGTCATTTGGTCATGGGAATTTTTAGAATTCATTTACACCTGCCTGTTTATTTTATGCCAACATGCAGGTAATTGCCCTGGTAAAAAAAATCTGATTGATTACGTGTAAATGTACCTGAAACAATGCAAGACATTTAATATATGATCTTACAAATGAAGTTGTAAATAAGATTTTCAGTGTATATATTTCTGTGTTAAATGAAAGAATCCTGCAGGTATATGTATTTTTTTTTAAATTCAGGAATGTAAATTGATTACCTAGAGAAATACCCAATACTTTAATAAAGTTTGTTTGTAATTGTGATCATAAGAGTACTGAGTTATACTTCAAGTTTGTTGTATATGTTTATTACGATACATCTATGAGGCCATCATGTATCATACGCTCCATGTTTTGGAGTTTAAGTTAAAAATATCTAAATCTCCTAAAGTGCATGCAGTCTGATTATACTGTCATCATCTGTTACAGTGACACAGTGTTACAAATTTGATTACATTTAATAATGTAACATTTTATATTTCGAAGTCAGCATTTCCTCTGACTTTGCATATTGCATAGACACATTGTATATTTATTCATGTTACATGTGTGTGATCATATTTTGATAAGATTTTCTATATGCAAAATCAAAGTTTTATTTCTGCCCACATATTTAAGAGATATGTATGAAGCATTAAATCGGAGTTCTATTCACGACTGCAAAAAATGTATAATTCATCTTTTAAAATTCAAAACAGGTAAAATTTGTCTCCATAAAGGTGTGCTTATATGATACGCAAATTTTTATTTTCACTGTTAACTATTTTTAATCTTTTTTTCACATGGTTTCTGTAAAGTTAAATCTTCAATTTGTGAATATAGACATCATGACAGTTACGTTATTACATGTAAAGCTTGGGACTTTAATTATATGACTGGGATATGCAAATACCTCTTATTATTGTAAAAGTATTGCTTATAAATAGTCATAAACCTCAGAATTACAATGTAGAATGTAAGAAATGCAACTTGTTAGACTGTAGCATTACATTTTTGTAACATATTGCAATGTAATATGTGTGTCATTGAATTAATTTTCCATACTAGTCAAAACAGATTGTAAAAGTTAATGTTATTATATGCACGTATTACATTTTATTATAAATTACATTGTAATACTTTTGTACATGAATTTCTCTTTTGGTCAAACTGATGCTGCCTTCTCATCTATTTTAACAAGATCATCTACTTTCACTTTGTGTATGTTTAATGTAGAAAAAAGTGTTTTAAAAGTAATAAGTCCAAAATTGTTGTCTTCTTATGTACTTTTACTTTCAGCCATTGTTTGAAAATAGCTGTTATTTCATATATGTTCCCCAAATAAAGATTGAGAACATATTTTTGTTAATTTTCTTTAGGGTTAACAGGCATGTTACATAAATCTGCAGAACAAAGGTCATTTTACGCACACATGATGATTGGTATGACTGAAACAGCATTTACTTTCATTTTTTGGATGATATGCTTTGAACATAAATATATTGACTTAATTATTGGTGTAACTTAGGTGATGTGAGTGAATTAGGAAAAAACAGCACTAGGATGCACGTGCGCTTCACTCTGATTGACTGACAGAAAAATCTCTATAACTTCCTTGTTTTTTATTTATACTAAATGCAACGAAATTTAAAGTATGGTATATATTATGAAATTTTACAAATGTTATGTCGGAGAATTCTTGAAATTTTGCGCATGTTCATGTGCTGCAATTTGATTGATTGAAACTTATAATGTCTTTGACTTTTTAAATTTAAAAAAAGGGACAAAATTTAGAACGTAGATCTATAAGTGTAGTGTGTCCTTATCAAACCTGAATACAAAGACATGCAGGCATGTGTGCTGAATTTTGATATCTCGCTTGTTTTCAATGAAAGCCTTTCATATCTTCAAAGTGTAGCTAAATATTATGGGATACTAAAAGAATATATATGTAAAAAAAACTATAAAACATGTGCAAGCACATGCACTGAAGTTTATTTGGCTAATGCCTGTACGGCTATATTTGATTAATTATCCACTAAAAAAAAGTCTAGAAAATAAAGTGTGCATCTATAATACAAAATATTTCCTAATTTAATGAAGCTTGGTTATATGGCACCATAATGGAGTGGGGGAGCCGTTTGGAAAACATCTTGTCTAAAGAGGGACGTTCATACATACCTGGTCTATATACTGCCAGACCATACCAGATTAAGAATGGAATCTTTGCGGTAGTAGACTTGTAACATAGACAATGTAAACCGATACGTCTCCGAGATGTTATGTGACATTAAAATCGTCTCCCTTGGTTGTTAGCCAATACCAGAGGCAAAATGCTCTCAGGTGGTCAAGCTGTTCCAGAACCAGGAAGAACTATTGGCCAAGTTCGGACAATTCCTACCAGATGCCAATGGTTCATTTTTGGGGGATATATAAGTACTGGGGAAATATGATATCTTAATAATGACTATGTGTACCGTCACACGCCTTCGTATTTGATTTCCTGCTGTGGTCTTGCTTTGCCAGTACAGAAGATTGTAGATCTGTATGTTCGACAAATGCACTGAGTCTACCTAATATAGTAGATAATAAATCGTTTGAAGTATAGGTATTATGGCTGTAGAAACCCGGGGCACGTTGGGGGCGACGCCAATAATTTTGCCGATATATAGAATACTGTAGAATACTTCGCTACTATATGCTTTTGCCCCCTCAATAATAAAGTCTTATGACCTTTTTTTCTCTTTGTATTGAGACCCCCCAACTGAAATTGCTTCCTACGGGCCTGGGTATTTAAATTATGTATTCAAGGCATAATCTGAGATAGAGAGCTTCAGAATGGTAGGACATTAAGATCTATGTCTGTCATTTAATATGTGAACCTTGCGTCGGACTTCAAGAGCAGAAGATTATAATTATCAGATATAATGACAGCTAACTGATTGAGTACTGCCAAAGATGTTTTGTTAAGGACTGAAACCAAAGTCCATCAGATTAGTAAATTACTGCACTCAATCTGTTGATTGAGAAACATGATGCCACAGTGTTATATAATTTTCTCGAAAGCTTCCACTATAGTGTCATCTTTCGAAGCTCCCTCAATATGCCTAACCAGTTAACCCTCCACAACAGCTGGATCCAATGGGGGTCAAGAGGACTGAACATCCAGCCCACGAATGAAGAGGGAGAGTGAAAATGATTTAATTTTCATTACCAGGGCAATTGTTATAATAAAATCATTTATTTACAACCTAGTTTTACTTTCATACAGAATCCAACGCGGTCAATAATTCAACTTTCCTTGACATGTGAACTTGTAAATGCGCAAAGTACGTGCTGTATAGTATCGTATGACTTAAAAAAAGAAACAAATGTGAAATCAAATCAAATAATAAATTTTCTTGTGCTAATGTTTTATATTATATTTATTCAATTCTAATTATTTGACAAGGTCTATATATATTCATTTACTCATGTACAACACTAACCACCCCCACCCAATCTCTTTGTACTTTTTCTTCTCTCTCCCTCCAACCCTTGTATGTGGTTTTCTTTATGTAATGAAAATCTTGAAATATTCGCTGAATTTTTAAAAACACTCGCAGATGGTTTAATAAAACTCTAACGAGAAATATAGTATATACATATGAAGTCTAAACATTTACTTGTATTAAATTTCTTTTTTTTAAAGTTTAATAAGTTGAAGTATTCATATAAGATGTCTAGAGAATAAGGATACCCCCGATTCCCTTATGAACCTAACTTTTTTGTGAATTTGCAGGATGACATCTATTCCCTGTTCTTTGTCAACAATAACTGGTATCTGTTTTTCAGCCTCCATCAAATTCTGTGTGTGAACGCCTGTATAAGATATACATATATTCTGTAAAAATCACAGGTGAGGAGGTGCAGTGTAGAAAAGACAGAAAGGTATCTACTGCAGTGGCCCTCAGACTCAAAGCTCCAAGTAAGAAACCTAGAGGACACTAGTATAGTACACTTACAGTTCAAATCTTAACAACATGGGATGTTTGTCGGGTTCAAGGTATTAAGCGTGAAATTCAAATTCAGTATATTGTTATAGGATTCACTTTGCATAGCCATATCAATGTTCCAGATATACAGTGAAACTTGCCTATTCCAGAGACCACTAATTCCATAAAAATTGGCTGGATTAGACAACATTCTGGATAAGACAATATTTTAATCAATTGAATTAACTAAAAGGGACCTAAAATTCATATCGTAATAAAAAAAATTGTGGAAAACACAACATACGGATTAGACAATTTTTACTGTAACTCTTACCAGTTATTGCAAAAGAATATCATGTTTTATAAAGCATTCAGTCCTTCTCTGATTGCATTGAATATAATAACGTTTTGGTTGGCAAGATAACTGTTTTGATTTTTTGGTTACAGGTGAGATTGAGCCAGAAGAATACTATCCATACTTCCTGGAGATGGTGAAGAGTTTGCTGGACGGGAACTTAAAATCCAAACAGTACGAGGACAAGCTGAGAGAGACGTATGGTATTCATGCCTACATCGCATTCACATTAGAGAAGTTTGTATAGAACCTTGTCAGACAGGTAAGAAGGAAATGATGACTTTGATTTGGAAACCTGTGTCGTTACACTTGTAAAATATGTTTTTTTCTTGTAAGTCATTTCCATGAAAAACTAGGCCCAATAAATTTTTCTCTTACAAGAATGAAGTTTGAACATTTACATGTAGTCATTTAACATCAAAATGCTACTCCTCCTACACTTTTAATCTAATTAAAGTAAAACATGGAAAAGTTGACTACATTCATTCCATTTATCAGTTTTTGATTTCGACAAACAGTATTACAAGGTTTCTACAAATAGAAATTTCTATGAAATTCTTTAAAAACACTTTCTCTCTTACAGTTTATGTACAATTTTAATAAAATTGGAAAAAAAGTAGACTATATTAAGAAAAATAATTATGTAAATTGGTTTTGATTGAAACAATGGGTGTTGTCTGGATACTAAAAATAATACTTGTAACTTAGTTGATCTGATTATGTTTTATAACAAATGTAGACTACTACATTACGTCTTTCTTAATTATAAGAAAGCAACTATCAACAAAGGCTTGAAATATTGACAGTAACTGAATTTACATAGCTCTAATTTCCATTGTTTATGTCCATGGCATGCTTCCTCATCATAATGAAATATGTGGAGATAACGAACAGTATTCGAGCTAAAAGGTCTATGAAACATTACAAAATGGGAGCAGAGCAAACACGGACCTCCAAACATTAGAGGTGGGATCAGGTGCCATGGAGTGAGCATCCTTACCGACCGGTCACACCCGCCATGTGCTCCATGTCATGATCGGGAAATAACGGGAAAATCCGTCGACAATTCAGTGTGTAAATAATGGCCTAACAATTAGTATGAAAAACGTCAGTCAGCATTTGACTTCATGATATAGATTGTGTTTGCTGACAAGGTCATTGTATCGACCATAGAACTTTCGAAATAATGACTTTAAACAAGACTGTTGATATTCTTGTTTCATCAACTTGTTTGTCTATAACTTACCTTTAGAAATTGTTCATACGTAGAGCTATTCTATGTAATTTATTCTTGTAAACCAATATTTGTTTTGAGTTTATGCATTTATTTTCTTCTGATTCAGTAAGATGTTTTACATTCACTGCACAATGATGTTTAATCAGAAATCAATATTTATAATGTAAGAAGAGTATTTCTTGAAATATAAACAGAATAACATTATGTTTTGAAATGCATTTTCCCACTGTTCATACACTGTTGTTTGCGCATGTGAGTTAAGGCTAGGTATAGGCGTTTCTATGCAAATGAGCTAATAAAAACGCATAAGAGGTATATTTATTATTCAGAGAAAGATTTAATTTATTTTCTTATGCATATTTAGTACCCACGATATGTCATAGCCAGTAATCATTATGACGTCATATTATGACATCATTGTTCTTACCTACTGGAGGAAATAAAACACACAACAAAACAGCTTCGGCGCAAGGGATTACCCTATTTAATTTTACATAAAAATTGTATAATGCTGAGAAGAATATTCTGTAGAGTAATAAAACTGCTGCACAAATCCTACTTATTCTCTCATTTGATCAGAATTTGAGGAAACGTATACAGGACTGTGCATTTTTACCCTGATTCAACTTTAAACTTTACAAATAGAAATTATACAAGTGAGCTGTTGATATTTGTGCAGCAATACCAGCAATCTTTGAAATATTTTACTTCTAAATATACCTTGTTTCATTTGAATAAAATAGAGCATGCCCTTGCACCGAAGCATTTTTGTTAATGTCCATCATAATCTTGTGTAGTAAAGAACAATGACGTCATAATATGACGTCATAATGTGTACTGGCTATCTCATGTCGTGGGTACCAAGTAAGTATTAGACAATAAGTTTTAACTTTTTCTGTATAACAGATATAGTCTTTAGGCATTTTGAATCAGTTTATTTGCATAGAAATGCCTATGTCTAGCCTTAACTCACCTGCGTGCACATATGCTTACATGTTTACGTAATCAATGTAATGGTGTTTTTTTCATCTTGTATATCAGTCAAATAGACTCTCAATTACAATGAAGTATTTATACGTATTTGATTTTCTTCACTTAACCACTGTAACACTCGGCCACAAAGAGGTTGTTTCTGGTGTCTACACATAAACTCCATGGTCTGTATTCATCACAGTTATAAATGTAACGGAGGAACTGTCCATCCTGATCTAGGATGTGGATACAGTGGTTGTCACAGTCTGCTATCAGGATCTGACTTTGGCTGTCTGTTGTGATGCCGTATGGATAGAATGATCCCTTGGTAGTAGAGGGATGACCAGTGTGTCTAAATCGGAGTGTTTCTGCCTGATTAACCACCACTACTGCACTCGCTACATTGTCAGCTACACAGATATCCAGGTTGTTCTCACTGATATATTTACAGTAACCTGATAAATACAAAGGTTTACTATTACCATTAAACTGAATTGATTGTTTTTCTGTGGAGCCAGAGTAACGGACAACTTTTGATTGTTTTTCATCATCACTGAGCATGGTTACCAGAAGGTCACCAGAGGAAGTACTACAGACATGCAAAGGTACCCACCCCTGTAGTCTGATCACTTCCTGTATCTGTTTATTCTTCACTATGTTTACAGTTCTTGTATCAGGGTCAGTATAAACTAGATCTCCAATCCATGGCACTGCTATGTCACATGGATTTCTCCCTGACTTGGTTTGGATTGACTGCAGTAGCTTTTCCTAAAGGTTGTAGAGTTTCATGATCTTGTCAGTTCCACAAGTCCAGATTGCTTCCTCACTGAGACAGTTAACACATCATAACCAGTGTATATGGTGGTGATAAGCACTGGTTCATCAAGCAGTGGTTTGACTGGAGGACAGGATGCAGCTTCTGGTGCCTTTATCGTGTAGCCATGTTTTTCTGTTGTGATGGATATTGCTGACAGAGAACCAAACATTTGATGGAGTTGATCTGTGTTGATCTGATGAGGAGGGAAACTTGGAAATAAAACATTGACTTTAGGAGGTAAACTTCTGAATTCAGCATTTCTGGATTTGTAAGCAGTGATTAGGGAGACATCTTTGGAGTCCAGTATTTTCTTCAGATCAAAAATACTCTGTTTAACATCAGAAGTAATCGGTTAAATTTCTTTTTCCTGTTTATTTAGAGCAGTCAGGTGTTTATTTTTCATCTGATCAATTTCAGATTTCTGTTTGTTAACAATGATGTTAATTTCTCTGTGCCAGTCAGTGTTTAAATCTAACGTAATTTTTTTGTATGCAGGATAGATTCTTTTCATATGTTCTTCCAAGTCTTTTTCTAAATCCATTGTTTTAGAACTTAGTTTTGTCTGAACATCTGTAAATTTATGCCCATGATGTTTTTCAGAAGAGATACAGGTAGAACAAACAGGAATGTCACATTTCTCACAGTTAAGTTCACACTGGTTCTGGGTATGGATTGGACATTTCGGATAGTTATAAGGAGCAGATGTTCTGTGTTTGTACGGTACAACCCTGTGTCTTTGGGATGAATCAGAGAGATGCTCCCCTACACAGGCCTTACACAGGTTAATGTGACAAAGTTCACAGTGACTCTGTAATGCAACTCTTTGACACAGGTCACAAAGGAGGAGTACTTGAGCTCTGTCCAGGGGATCCATGATAGTCTTTTTCTCATGTAATCAAGTCTGGATGATGCTGTAAATAATAGAAAATTTTCAAGTATAAATTCTATGTTGAAGATTTCATTTTTTATGCTTCGTGCAAACTAAAATGATAATATTAATTAATAGGTAAATAATATGAAAATATGAGTAATCATGGTAATAAACGCTTGATGTGTTTTTATTTCATCAGGGATGAAAATCATTGAAAGAAAGCATTTGATAATGTAAAACAAAATTAAACAAGGAGAATAGTTAAAATTTTTGAGAGCTGGCCTGTAAATAAAGGTCAATTCTATCTTGGGTTTGTGTTTACAGACAAAAACTTATCATCATCATGGAAATGATAATGCTCTCAAAGAATACGTTTAGTAAGATCAGAGTTTCAAATTTGTAATTTTACAAGATGGTTATACCTGTGATTGAACTAAATTTCACTATTGCAAGGGAGAAGTATTATTTGCCTAGCAGGTAGGAAATTTACTAACCAGTTAACATCCTGTACCATCCTGTACAAAACTATGCAACGAATCTACCCCATTGATGACATGAATATATATTCAGGTGTCTATTGTTTGTCAAGTGTTTCTCCCTGCTATATATCATTTATGTTTTAGCACTCCCACAAAGTGCTTAATATGACGTCACATTGCGCTACTTAATTTTGTTTTGTGTGTGTTTTGTGCAGTAATAAATTACAATTTTGAAGAAATTTAGTATGGGAAGAAAAAAGGTTTCATAATTAGTGCTTGCTACTGACGGTTAAGTTTTAAATTGTCAACAGACACTCAGCAGGCCTCTTGTCTATTGACGATTAAAAAGATTATTATAAAAACTGGAGTTGTTCTTAGTGTTACAAAAGAAAAGATTACTCCGTATTAACGGTGTACTGATTTTCAAGTGTCCATGTGTAAGTATTACACTCCTTTCACATGACAGACTTCAACCAATCTAAGCCGGGATTACGTCGAAAAATCCCCAGACGTGGGAGTAATAGATACAAATGTGATCTCAAAAGTCCATGCTTAGACCATCACCGTCTTGTCATGTACCCGTACAATATAATTATGTATTATTATATTGCTCCTAATTTTTGAAGGATTTTCACTTTTAACAAAAACGTTTTTTATTCAGACACAGGATAAATTGCACAAAAAATGTGATATGAAAATTGAAATAATGTCTAACCTGTAAACTCTATATGGCTCCCTACGTACTGTCGGACATTCTTCTTCTTGGTGATGACCTGTTGCTAAGTCATGTGATTTGAATACTTGTCGATATATTGACCTTTTAAATGATTTGTCAATTTGCTGCTCTGGTAAAAACAAAGACAGATAGATTTAAAGGTACATGAAA